AAAGGATGGACTCAACAAATGGCCTCGATGAATGTGACCCATTTTGAACTGTCTCAAAGTTGACACACGAGATGACTGATGCAGTGATCTTTCAAGGTTATCTCGAGACGATCGAAGGCACAAACTCGTCTTTTACGTGTGTTGCTTGTCCACTCAGTCGACCAATGGTAGCAAATGCAATTGCAAAACATAACAGATCCGCTCATCATCGAAAATTTCACAAGATATGGCTGGAACAAGAAGCAGCGAGAAAAGTCGAATTATCGAAACCTGACGCACCGGAACTAGAACCTGATCCACCAAGTCCGGATGATCAGAATCAGTTTCCGGCGTACAATCCGGATTTGGCTGATGTGGAACCAGATCACGAGAGCTTAGAAGATCGTCGGAAAAGGCTATTAGACTCATGGACTAAAGACTTATCAGGTCTTTTTAGATCTCCAGCTTTAAGTGTCAACAGCGACACCGAGGATTCAATCCACAATTCTCCACATCATACACAACATTCCGAATCTGAAAAGGATGATTCAGAGGTGTCAGACGAACAAGAGCTCCTTGACAATGACATGGACGAATGCGACTCGGGCTGGGCTCCTTTCTCAAATATGGAGGCACGTCTGTTATGAAGTATTCCTAAGCATCTTTGTCCTGCTGACCGATGTTTGTTATCATCTTCAGCAAATGGTCGGGTCCCTTATTCTTGGGTCAACAAGGACTACGAGGTCCTTGTTAGATTATGAGCGGTTGCGCTTCTTCTTCAGCCTACTTGGCGCCAACATTCCAGCATACAAAACGGTCCAAAATCATCGTCGACGTCTGAAGAAACAATTTAATTTCAATGTGTGCGAAACCCTCAGCCCACTCGAGAATCCATGCTTTGGATTAACAATTAAGGAGACTTTGAGACAGGCAAGTATAACTCAAATTTCACGCGGATAAGCAGGTTAATAATGTGTTCTCTGAATCACTGTCTGATTTATAGGAACTTTCAAATCCATATGTTGCAAATTTCCTTGAGTTCATCCCTGAGCTTCCAGATGCGAATTCCAAAATTCATCGCCTGTCCCAGTCAAAGAAGTGGCGCGAGGAGCTTGAAGAAGACATCAGGGTTCAGATGGTTGAACAAGGAAATAATCACTTCTACCTGTACGAACTGGTTCAACTTCAATCTAAAAAAATTGTCATTCCTTTCTATTTTTATAAATATGGCAATGAAGTACTTGCAAAGTGTGTAAATGCAGTTCAAAAGTTTGTAAAAGTAGGTAGAGATTCTAAAATTAGAACAGAATTTAAAGCTGCTCCCACTTTTAATTCTCCTTCTTTGTCAACAATCAACATCAAAACTTTCTGGAGGACTTTTGACCAGATTGAATTGCCTGATGGTCAATTGATGAAATCCTATTGTAGCAAAGTCATGTATTGTGAGTTGAGAGTATTGATTCTGAATTTTTGCTTGGTATTAACATTTGTGTTGATGTCCAAGCTCAAAAAGGAGACGAGTTTATGGAAGTCCCATATCTCAACGCTTGGCGGATAAAAGCAAACTCTCGAATAATTCGACATGTCCCTTTGGTCTTGTACTGCGATGACCTTTCGGGTAATGTTTCCAAGAGATGGAACAAGCATTTAGCTTTCTATTTCACTCTCGCCGGTCTTCCACCTAAGTTAGCAAATCAGGAATTTAATTGTCATTTTTTATCAACTTCAAACTCTGCAGGTGCCTTAGAATTGGCAGACCCTTTGATAGACGAGTTGAAGTAAGAGAACTGCTTTATTTTAAAACAAACATCTTGTTGAGTAACACTGATAAGTTCTTTCAGTGATTTGACTGAACATGGCTTTGTGGCATTTGATCACAAAGCCCAAACAGAAGTATTTGTGATGACCACAATACTCTGTCACCTAGGAGACTCTCCTATGCACGCGGAAGTAACAAATACCATGAATCCAACTTCCTCGTTGACGCCTTGTAGGATTTGTCACCTGAAGGTGAAATCTTTATTAGAAAAGCGGACTTCCAAGTATGTATGTAACTTTGTGGGAATAGACGAAGGTGGAGAACGGGTGAGATTTCAAGATTTAATACACAATTTTCTCGAAACTTTCTCATCCTTAATTTTATGAACATTATATATGCTTTAGAATTCTCTACCCACACGTGATTGGACCGCAACTTCAAAGGGCACTAAGGATCTTTGGCAAAAGGCTCAACTGCCAGGGCCTATCTCTCACTTCGAAACAGATTCGGCCGCCCTTGGATTACGAGATGCTTTGAACACAACCTTTGTCAAACGAGCTCAAGAGTTACATAAAAATCGAAATGTTTCTAAAGATGATGTAGCTGAAATGTGTCGCGAGCTGAATGAAAAGTTTGGGGAACGCTTGTTCAACCCGTTTTTACGTTTAAAAGGTGATTTTCATTATGAAGTGCTTTTCTTTTGGAGTGCTGTTTGTAAGCTGATAATACCCTTATTTTACAGGCTTCGATGGACATCGTGATACTCCAGTGGAAATTTTACACGTGATGTTGTTAGGTATTGGAAAATACTTTTTATGCCATCAAATGAATAGTTGCAGCCCCGCCGAAAAGGACAAACTATGGGGCCGCTGGAGATCTTTTGACAGTTCCGGACTAAACATTCCACCCATTCAACCTAAAAGCATGATTCAGCATTTTCAAAGCCTCAATGGAAAAGAATTTCGAGTGGTCTTGCAGGCGGCACCTTTTATTTTTTTGGACTCAAAGCTTTCAGATGAAGAACGTGCAGCGTGGAACGATTTGGCACACTTGGCACCTTATCTATTTCAGACTGAAATAGCTGACATGGATCTGTACCTCAAGGAACTCGACAAGCTCATCCAGCGATTTCTGAAATCAATTATAAAACTATCGGCACAATGGTGCAATAAACCTAAGTTTCACATGTTGATTCATCTATGTGAATCAATTCAACGATTTGGTCCGCCCTGCCTTTTTGCAACAGAAAACTTTGAATCTTATAACGGAAACACACAAAGTTCATCAATTCATTCGAATCATTTAAGTCCTGGACGAGATATTGCGAATTCTTTCAACAGTTATAAACTGATCAGGGCGCTAGCTTCCGGAACCACATTATATGATCACAAGCTCAAAACATACATCCGTTCAGGTTCAAAAGTCCAAGAATTATTTCGAAACAATAAACTTTTTCAAAAGGCCTTAGGTTACAACGCTTCTTGGAACGTGGAAGCTAGAATTCAAATTGGAAGTAAGTATTCGTGGTAATATAAAGCATTTTCATAACATGTATATGCCGCATTTTTAACCACTGTTATGCTTTTAACTTGTTTCAATTTGCAGAGAAAGCACGCTCCCAACCACCAGATTCGAGAGCTCTGATTCCAACAAACATCTTCAATACATTTTCCGCGGAGGACTGGAAAGTCCTTGAAGATATCACTTTATCAACACAACAAAAAGTATCTGCCAATTCTTTTATTTCTTTCAAAACCAAAAATGACCCCATCGGGAGCATTGCTCGAGTTCAAACAATCTGGGGTGTAGGAGGCTGCGGAATTTCTCAGACGATGGTTCAAGCAGTCTATTGCCAAATGGGCCAGGTGAGCGGATATTATGGAATGCGGGAACTGCAGCAGACTGATACAAGTGTCTGGATCAAAATTGATGTGAGTTATTACCCATATAAATCACTTCCTTCACTACCTTGTGTTTTCTAACCCGTGATTTGTATTTCAACCAAACACGCAGGACATTGAAGGCGTTCTCAATGTCCAACATGACTGTTATCGAGGCAAATGTAATGTGCAGAAGGTCAGGCCGACTATCATTGAACGACGAGTGTTGAAAAAGCTGGATTTTGCTGTGGTTCACGAGGAAACCATGGATTACATCTTAAATTCAGGCGCGTTCTATTCAGCGGAATTGCATCGTAAATATGCTAGGATTCAATTCGCCGAAAGCAACTCGCATGATTGGGTCTTGGCTGTGGAGAAAGGACTTGCGAATTGGGATGCCGCTGTTAAAAAAAGAGACGATACAAAGGAGAAGAAGCGGCAAAAAGCAAAAGACAAAATATTAGGTAGCCAAACAGGTCAACCTTCCACAAACAAGAAAAGAAAAACAAACCAAGGCCAGTCACAGTTACAACCATCTAACTCTGAACTTGTCGATAGGTATCTCTTGACCGGTCAACCGGTCGCGGGCCCTTCCAATTCATGAAGAAAAGATATTTCATTTTTATGATGTTGATCAAACTCACAACATAATTCTTTTTAACCACCGTTATGTATCTCATTTTTGTATCAACATTTTATTAACTCTTTATGGTGCTTCGCATCACCAAGTGAACTTACAAATTTCTCAAATAAATCAAACAAATATTTAGAATTCTAAAATATATATATCTTTGTTTTATTTTTTAATTACAAAGATATATATATGCGCCGTTCAAAGGAGGATACATACTTTACCTTTTGAAGATATCATTGATCGTTTGGCTTCCATTGGAGAAAAATGAAAGGAGTCAAAATCCAAAGGAAAAGATATTGTACAACTCAATTGTATAAACTTCCAAGTTGATATATCTTAGACCCTTACCAACATGTCAATCTAAGATATCCTTTTCGTGTTAAACGGAGAAGATCCATCGACGATATCTTTGAACGTTTCAAAGATATCTTCTTCATTATTCCTTCAATTTTTGAAAGATCCTCTGAGCGTTCAAAAGGTGCTAAATATTTACTCGGTATTCTTTCATTCCATTGAAACCCACCTGATTATACCTTTTCTCTTATAAGTGGTTCATCGCTGTGCTGTCTTCAACAATCCCATCTTTTCCGTGAAATCAAGGGATTGAAGACATTTCAAAAGTTCAACGGGGCCGGACCGTAGCAATTTGAAATTATCTTCTGAGACTTCTGTTGACTTCATGTCATTTCTCTTTTCACTTCCTCGCATCTTCCCTCTCGCTCAAGACCCTCCAAGTTCACCTTCACCAATGAAGTCTGGTAGTCAACGATCCCAGACGTCCCAACGGGCCATCGCTTCGCAAATCAGTCCTCAACAAGAGCAATCCAATCGGAACACTCCCAGCATTTCAGGCTCTCGGGCATCCACTCGATCTCAAAAGAGGAAACTCACTCAAAACCACCCATCATCGCCATCTCCAGTTTCCACTTGTACTCAACGTTATAGGCCATACCAATGTTCAAAACGTTTGCAGCCAAGTCTTCCAACTCAGCAATCGACACATGGCAACACTCCGAGGGCCTCTGTTTCACGATCTACACGATATCAAAACAGACATCATCAGCGTGAACAAACTGAAGAACTCGAAAGTCACAATTCTCAATTATCTAATCCTACCGAAGGAAATCAGAAAAACGAAGAAGAAGATGATGAAATACCTCAAAAGCCTGCCGAAGAGTCACAGAGAGAAGACTCCGAAGAACCTTTCAATCAAAAAGATTTAAATTTATTCAACGCTGGCTCTGATGACAACAATGTAACCGACGAAAGTCCTTATAAACCGGAGGATAGCAGTGAACGTAATAGTAGTGAAGGTGAAGACGATTATCGTAAGTTCTCCACTGATTTTTATTAAAGTTGAAGGATATTGATAATATCAGCTTATGTGAACTTAGCCACCAAAGCTGCCACAGTCCGCCCCGCTGCTCGAACTATGTCGAAGAACCATAGCGGACAGACTGCTTTACCTTCCCATATGACAGCCGCTCATTCCCAATCTTTCGAACGCATTGCTAATTGGGCGGATCTTGATCAAGATGCTCGCACGGTTGGACGAAAGTTATGTAATGTGAGTAAGATGAACTGAATAACGCACAGAACATGGAACTCATCATCTTATCTCACAGGTTACTGGCAGTGACGATCAATTCCATGCCTGCGTGGTTGCCACACTATCCATGCGCCAAGAGATGGTAGTGTTATCAAATCAGCTTGACAAAATCAAGCAACAAATAAGCAAAATATCTTGTGGAAGAGGCAGTTCTTGGAAAGACGAAGAGCATACCAAGCTCAAAGTAAGCCGTCTGCTAGCTAAGTACCATTTAAATAAATGTTATACATGTGTAATCGAACTAATCTGACACTTGATCAATGCATTGTCATCATCTCTACAGGCAGTTGTTTGTTCTACAGCGGTCAAGAAGATCATGGACGGCAATATCCAGGCATACACCGCTAAGGAGAACAAAATCATCAATGAGGACCCGCTACCCTTCTGTTTGTATGGGAAAGTCATGGTAATTGTGCTTCCCATTGTTTTCACGTCATTCTTCAAGAACTAATACATTTATGGGATACAAAGTTGAATCCGGGAACGGACCCGGATTTTTTCCCAAATTTCCAAATACCGTTTTTAGCGGTAGTTTGGATATTGGGAAAAAATCCGGATTTTTTTATCTTTGAATCCCCGGTTGCTCCATCGGCCATTACACCTCTTTTTTCCAAATTTCAACTCCATTTGGAAATTTGGAAATTTGGGAAAAAATCCGGGACCGTTCCCGGATTCAACTTTGTATCCCATAATTGTTCACGTCAGACTGAGATCTTAGGTAAACCATCCGAATGGAAGAAGGAATATCTTCCACCACGATATGGTGTCGATCCGGACAACAAATTGAGTTGTGCTTTTCATTCTTTGGTGAATACTGCTTTGAAGGAGGTCAGAAAGGACTTTGAAACTGTGGTATGTCTTACTTATAACTGGCATGAAGTGTCCACCTTCCTGACCGAAACTTCTCAGCTCCTTCAAAACATTTATCTTCCGGATCGAAAAACACCACGTGTGGATGCACCAGTGCCTATTCTTGACACGGTTATTGTCAAAGTAAGTTACTTGTTATCTTGGATTATGGAAATATCACTGGATCGAAAGACTCCCCCGTATACACAGCTGTACCAAAAGGAACATGGTGTCAGTGGTCAAGTCCTTGTTACCAAAGAGGTACTTGACAAAGTGGGCTACCTTCGATCATCACGATATGCATGGGTGGTAAGTTCATCATGTTGTTCATCTATCTGCAACTTATGTACAACTTACCACTGCCTTTGTCCGGGTCCTCCTCTCAGAGGATGCAGGCAATCCACTGGGGGTTAAACCGTAATAACAAGAATTTTAAGTATGGCAGCCGATCCTTGTGGGACGTCATTGATGAACAACTGGAGTACTTACGAAGTAAATCCACGCGATATCGTCACGCGTAGGTCATGCTATATCTTAATGAATAACTACACCCTTTAAAATGCTTATGCTTATCAAGGGTAATTTTACAGGTTTTTTACCTTGTGTGACCAAAATGACATCGATCGAATCAATGGGACCAAGAATTTTGCCCAATTAAAGGATTCTACCGACTTCTCGCTGCCAAGTGAGGCACAAATTGAGGAGGAAATCGAGTATTTGAATCAGACTTTTGGAACGGAACAGTCACCCGACGAGGCGTCGCATGTACTCGTCGAAGGCTAGGTTTGATGTATGGTTCTATGACATATAGACCAGTTTGGTCAATGTTTTCATTTATCATTTTATCTTTTATTTTATCTTTTATCAATGGCTCTTTGATACATATGTCTTTTCCCTCATTTTTTTTTCTTTTACCTCGTTTTTTTTATCCTTATTTTCAAATTTTTTGTATTGTTGTCAAATCTTATTTTCATTTATCATCAATCTCAATGTGAATTTATGTTTTTGAGTTGTTTCAATTATAGCAATTAACTTGAAGTCATCTGAAATATTATATTCTGTTTGTGTTTCATTAAACAATTACCAATTGACAAAATTTATTAGTAAATAAAACAAGGCATTCATATCCTTGCGACAAATGATGGTTGAAGGCCTCAACCAGTTTCGATCAAGTGACAACTGGTTCAATCACCAGTCTTGCAAAACACGGGTTCCAACACCGTAAAACGGCCACGTGTGGCCAACGATGGTCACCACCAACAAAAAACCCGGTCCTCAACCGTGACTCGACCCCGGCTGAGGACCAGTTAGAGGGGGTTCGTGGTGTACTGAAGATGATTTAGAAGATCAACTTCCACCAACATCACATTATAACAGACCAGCACGAAAGCAAGAAACAATTTTACCTGTCACAGAACATCCAATTTCTTTTACTTCTCAGAATCCACCACCATTGGAACTTCATCAATCAACTTCTGAGAATGTAGTTCCACCTACATCTTTTGAACGTTATAGAGAATTTCCCTCAGAAAATGTTAAATCAGATGAAGGAGAAGATAGAGATGCTCAGCAACAATTAATTCATGATCAAATGAAGTTGGCTGAAGAAAGAAAGGAGTTTCAACAATATGTTAAAGCTATTGAAGAAAGGAAGAATGAAATGCAAGAAAAGTTAAAAGGAAAAGAAGGTGAAGAAGTTAAGAAAGTAGAAGAAGTGATTAAAAAGACAATTATTAAGAAAGGTAAAGGTGTTAAGAAGAATCAAGAAACTGAAAGCAGTAGTAGTAGTTCTAGTTCTGATAGTTCTAGTTCAAGTAGTGAAGAAGAAAGTAGTAGCAGTAGTTCTGAGGATGATAAGGTGGAGGTAGTAGTTACAAAAAGAAGAGGTAAGAATGTCAAAGCAAGAACAAATGATAACTCTGATCCTAGTGTTAGGTTTGAGGTGGGGGGAAATATAGATAAGTTTCTCATTAATTATCAAGCTCAGGCTGAAGCAAATGGTGCTTCTGAATTGGATATGGCTAGACAAATAACAAGTTTTTTAGAAGGAGAAGAATTGAAAGAAGAAGTTAGAGAGATGGAAGGTTGGGGATCTGGTGAATGGAACTGGGGTAAGATAAAAAAGCAATTAAAGAAAAGGTATTGTGCTCTTACTGAACCTCCAAAGTATTCAACTGAACATCTTAGAGCTCTTTCTGATAGGACTGCTAAGAAAGGAGGAATTTCAACTAGAGAAGAATATCAAACCTTTAGAGTTAATTTCGATAAAGTACATGATTATTTAGTAAGACATGGTTATATTGATTCAGAAGCAGAAGTTGTGCAATATTTTTATGAAGCATTTTCAGATAATTTACAAGAGAAGTTTAAAGAAAGATTGAAGAAGAAGAAATTAATCAGCAAGGTTTCTGGAGATAGGTATAAGTTGCCTAAATTGGAGAAGCTGACTAAAGTTGTGGATTATATTTTATCAGATAAAGTTGTCTTTATTAAAGAAGAAGTTGGAGAAAGGAAGTTGGTTATTAAAGATGAAATTAAAGTAGTTAAGGAGGAAGTGATTCAGAATGATACTAGGAATAAGGTAGCTAAGATGGGAGGAATGCAAGCAAAAGCATCTCAACAAATTGATTCTTTATGTAATGAATTTCATGATTTACAAATTAATCAAACTCTTTTTCCAAATCATCTTCCCTCTTTTGCTGCATTTAAAAATAATCCTGGTTCTTTTCAAGCTCAGGCTAATCAACAACAACATCCTTTTCCTAGGTTTCAAAATAATCAAAGACATAATTATCAAAGGCAAAATTATAATAACAATATCAATCAAGGTTACAATCAACAGCAACATGTAGTACCTCAAAACAATGTAGGTCAACAACAACCTGTGGTAAATAAGTTTAATAACAACAATAATAATAGACCTTTTACCCAGCAACCTCCTGTGGTAAATCCACCACCTGTAGTTCAAAATCAAAATACTACTTATCAACCACCTGCTACATATATTTGTTCCTATTGTAATACAGAAGGTCATACTGTAGGAAGATGTAGATGGGTCATTCAAGATAAGCAAGCTGGTTTACTTCAAGATAGAATTGATGGATTTTCCTTACCTGGTAGTAATGCAAGATTAACTAAGATGGGAGGTGATGGAATTCGTCAACAAGTTATTAAGTATTCAGAAGTTCAAGCTAATAATGCTGCTAGACAGAATATGACTAATCAACAAAATTCTAATTCATCTAATGTTAATACAGTGTTACCACCACCACCACCACCTGTTGTTCCAACAAGTATTCTTAAGAATGAAAATGGTAAAGATAAGATTCAAGAATTGAAAGCTAATTGTGGTGTTCTTCAAGAATGGTCAGTTCCAAAAGTTGTGAATAGGAAAGGAGATGTCAAAGCTGGAGCAGGAACTGTTATTTATGATGTTTATATGCAAACTAGAAGTGGAAAAGATGTTAAAGAAGTAGAATCAAAGAAGAAAAAGAAGGTAGTTATTAGTGAAGAAGTGGAAGAAATTAATGATATGGATATTGATGAGGAAGAAATGGCTAAAGCAGATGAAGATACACTTGAAAATAGTATGAGAAGAATTGAGAAGGATTGTGGTAGTGATATAGCTGATGAAGGATCAAGTAAAACTACAAAACCATCTTTTATTATTCCTAATCCAGGAGATGTTAAAAAGAAGATGGCTAGACCTGTATTTACTGAAAATCCTGGAGCAGTTCAGAAGGTTGTGGAAAAGTTGATGAAAGGATCAATTGAAATTCAAATGAAGGAACTTTGCGCTATTTCACCTGAAGTTGCTGAAGAAGTTAAGAGATGGGTAAGTAAAAGAAGATTAAATTTACAGCAAGACTCAATGGCATCTGTAGTTAATAGTACTGTGTTATCAGATTTTGAAGAATCTGATTCAGAGGAATCTGTGGAGGTGAAATTGTCTAAGCTGACCTTATATTCAACTCCTTTAGGTCATGTATATATTATGGTTGGAGGAAAGAAATTGAAGGCTCTGGTTGACTCAGGATCTCAAATTAATATACTACCATTGAAAGTTATGCAGACTTTACCAGCCCAAGTACTAGTTAATTTGAAAAGTGGTGTTAAAGGTATTAGTG